CCAGGGACTCAGATACCACTGATGTGACTCACAGAAGCATTTGATTGCTTGTTTCTTTCATGGGTACAGTTAAGTGCTTTCAACAAGTTTAGGGTCTCAGTATTGAGGTCAACCACCAAAAGCAAGTGTGTTCTTGCAGTAAATATCAGTTTATAACTCATGTGAGAGAGAATTCAATATGGTTGATACTGGCAGAGATCACCACTGGTGAAGATTATCAAGTCCATTCAGCCACCTTAAGCTCCTCTTAGAGCTACATTTGGGCCAAAGAGGAATGCAACATCACAAATGTATATAAAAGCAGTCTTAGAGCAAAGCATAATGCAGCAAATTTGTGTATAAAGAATACACTCAAAAGAAGTTACTTCACTCTTACCCCAATAAGTCATGCTTTGCTTGCAAGTTCATATCAAGATTAGCAGGGTTTATAGGGAAATAATGAGAAGTCACGTCTCCTATCAGCCAAAAGTATCTGGAGCTTGTCTAAAAGTTTCTGTACTCATGGCATTTAGTTCATTAATAAGCAAGACTACTCACGAGCATAAACGTGACAGGACAACTGAATAATCATTAACACACAGACCTGAAAGCTTATTCAGTTTTATGTTTTCCTAAAGTATTAAGCATTAGATCAAGGAAGCTGGTTGAGAAAGCTTTTGCAAAACTGTAACCTGGTACAAAGGTAACTCCAGCTCAGATTTGATAGTGTTTGACAGACAGGACTGCTGAGCACTCAACAGCAGTTGAATTCCTATGTCAGAATTTTTCCAAGTGTTTTTTTTTTAACTCTCCCTAAGGGTTACAAAACCTCTTCCCATACAGAATTTGTACAGTTCACATGGCAGCCATGATTTTGGAAGCTGGGCCAGAGCAGTTCCCTTTCAGTGGGCACAAGGCTAAGTCCCACAGAACAAGTTCCTTAAGCCCTGAAGCAGTTTCAGTGCTCACCTTAGAAGCAATCACAATAAAGTCTTAGTAGTACACTACTGGGCTTCCACAGCAGCACAGCAGTGAGATACAGAATTCTAGAAAAATAAGCTGTATAGCTTTATTTTGGTCTCTACTTCAGAAAATGCATACAAGAGTAGAAATGCTTCTTGTAAACTACAAAAGCCAGTATGGTTTAACAAGTTTAGCAGAAGCACAACCTCTCAGTAAGCAATACATTAAGAGACAGGAAATGGGCAATGTTTTGCTAGTTACCTGCAATTTCGTGGCAACATTCTTACAACACCAGCAAAGAAAGAAATCTTTAAAAAGCCCTGGCATCCCCTTGAGAGGCACCATAGTCTGCCAAGCCATGCCTGTCAGTCCACTCCTGGGGGAAGTTATGAACACAGGCCATTGGGGCACACTGCAAGTGTGTGTTTATACAGTTCCTCTGTCAAAACATTGTCTTGACAGAGATTCAAGAATTCTCACTGTGCAACTACTTGATTAAAGTTTGATCAGCTTTGTTAACACAGCAGAAGGGACAACCAGTAACAGCCATGCTTCCAGATATTGGATAAAGGGGCAGTTTGGAAGACAACTTACTTGCAAGTCAGAATACGTATTACGTCATTTGGCTTATACTGTTCAAAGCACACAACACAAGAATCTCCATCAGGACCAGTTTCCTAAAACAGTAAAATGAATTTACAGTATTAACAGACTTTGAAAGCTCCCTCTGAACTCCAGTCACATTTGCTGCAGACAAAGGGGTCTAGCTAAACTAATCCAAGATGCTCCCGAATATAATCTTATAGAAACACACCATGTGGATTACTAACAGTCAAGCTGACACTTCAACAGAAGTATTGAAAATTTAAACCCATGGTTTAGAATTCCAGCTGAAATCATCATTGGATTTCTGGAGGCAGTACCGTAGAGGTTTAGAAACTGCTACCTCCAGTTTTTGTTACAAAAAGAAGAGGCAGGGAAGCTGATTAGATATACTAGTTTACCTTTAAGCATCCATGCCACAAATTGGGACCTCAGCAAGACTACAAGAAAGCAGCTAGCAATATAATCTGAATTATAAGAACATAACAAAGTCTTGCAGCTTGGAAAAGGACCTGGCCTGAAAGAGGAACCTTTGGGTTCCAAAGTGAACCATAACCAACAGTTATGGGCTCAGAGAGACTTCTGCATCTTGCTGCAGTACTATGGACCACTCTCCAGGTTCTGTGCATTTAATGCATGGGAGATCATAGGGTCAGTCCTACCTTGTCCCCTTCCTTCAGGGTGCGCAGCTGCATCTGTTCAATGGCCGCCTTAGCCCTGGCCTTGAGCCGCCGCTGTGACAGAAAGGAGTCCTGGTTAAACATGGTCATTTTTCTCCCAAGTTACTAATACTTACCCAGGCGCCTACTGCAAGCAGAGAACATTTTTAGAACCCAGATATTATCAAAACAAGCCAAGTAAGCATGACCATGCTATTTAGAGACAACATGAAACAGAGTTTCGGGACATACTGATGCGGTTATTGACTGGGTGACACACCAAAAAGGCATCTGCTTTGTTTTTACATAACCTTTTCACACAAAGCACAGAAATTCCAAGAGTTTCTTCTTTGAGAAGATACAAGATAATACCCTGATCATATTAGACCCAGCCAAAACAAACAGAATCCTTCAAATTGACTTAGTACTGAAGATGGAATATTGAGTCTGACCCTCAATAGTTTCTCACTTCATGACACCTCCCTACCACAAACTCACATCCTGATGAAACATGAGAGATTCTTTACCAATCAGCCCACTTACCACCAACACACCCTGAACTAGTCCTGTCACCAGTGCTTTACAGCTTGCCTTGCAACTGTTGCTGTCCAGCTGTGACTACAGAACACTGAATTAGCACAGGAGCCACCCTCTCTGTTTAAAGGTCATAGGTTGGTGCTGTTCACCAACACAAAGAATAGGACTGTCCTCTCCCTCCCCAGTGGATTTACTACCTCAGGACCCGATGACATATCAGGCAGCTCTGACAGTGCCATCACAACATGACACTTACCTCAGGGTCAAACTAGACTCAAGTTTTGCAGCTAACCAAAAAGCCTCTTCTCAACTCGACTGCTCCATGCATTCCACCTCCTTAGGCATTTTAGCTCAGTTTCATGAATCTTTACCAGCTCCACTGGGACCCTGTCAAAGAGTCCTGGGGCGAAATGAGCTATTTGTGTATCAGTCTTGTTTTGGTGCCCTAAGACAGAGCATCCATGTGCATGCTTTTAAGAGTTTAATAGCTGATAGCTATTAACAGCTATCAAGGAAGAGATGCATAAAATCCAAAGGTAAAGGATGCAAACAAATTTTCAGACAGACTTTTTTAGGAACAAGAACTAGTGAAGTTTTCTTGGAAGCTTGTACAGTTCTTCTGCTGAAGACACCAATATATGTTTCCATATGTCACTGACGGTTAACTCTGGAATGATGTTACCCTTGTCAATGTTTGCTGCTGAAGCCACAGAGCAGCAAACACATCCTGCTGTTTACTGAGGCCCCCAAAAGTCTGAGCAGCAAACGTGGTAACATCAACACAG